GATTGAAATTTTTTTTTTTAAAACTTAACAACGTTATTTTTGACCATTATATACTAATTTTTTTTTTTTTTTTTACATTGTTATATGCTATTTATGGAAACACTGTTGTCACATTATCTTTGTAAAATGCCAAGAAAATTATTTAACTACTTCCTGTAGCACTTTGAAAAGATCGTGGTGTATCAATGGGATACCCTGACGATTATCCAGATTTATCCTTCTGACATCATTGATCGATCATATCATTCGAGAGCTTATCATTTATTAACATTTTAGTTTGTAAAAAAGTAAGATTTAAGGGTCTCTTACCTTAATAAAATTTTATTCTCATATCCCATTTTGTTACTGTAATATGGATTAATAGCTTTTTTCATACATAACGATAACGCATAATTTATTGAAAGGTCATGTCTAAAAAAATAAAAATTTATTATTGATACATATTATATATTATTATTATTATTATTATTATTATTATTATTATTATTATTATTTTAGTTTAGTCATTCACTCAATGTATGTACGTACTGTACGTACATAAGTACGTATCTTGGTACGTATGTTCGTACGTAAGTACGTACGTATGTACGTACGTTTTGATGGCCTAAACTTTTTTTGAAATTCCGGGTCGTCCAATTCTTATCGTTATATTTTACGATCATATAGTCCATTGCCGCTAAGTTTAAATTGTAACAATAAACTTTTGAGTCTATCGTGACAACACCACTACCTGATATTTAATATTCGACCGGTTTTATTATATAACATGATATTTGCTGACCACTTAATTCTAAATATCAGGTAAGATTCTTCCCATTTTTCGGTTACATATATACTAATTCAAGAATTCTTTGAGAATTTTCCAGAATCACCTTTTATCGTTATCGTTATACATTTATTTCCGTATTTAGATTATGTCATACATGATTTATATAAATAGCTTGATTTTTTGTTCATGTGATGATATTTTATTAGCATACATTATGACTCACCTTGTTTAATTCGGTAAAAATTTCGGAGAAATTAATTTCCGAAATAAGAAAATCATACGTATACCCTATAATACGTAATTGTATTCGTCATCAGATACGCAATACAAAACGTGTATAATATGCTAACAAATGTCATACATAAAGAAATAATAGAAATGATGAATAATCGTAACTCGTAAGTTAACAACGTGAATGCTTACGAATGCTATACGTTAACAAAATGGCGTAATCAAGGGTTTTTTGAATGACAATAAGAAATGAAAAAGTATATAATGGTCAAAAATAACGTTGTTAAGTTTTAAAAAAAAAAATTTCAATCAAGTTTCTTATTTAGAAAAAAATATCTTGAATTCCCTTATTTGATAACTTGAATAATCATTAAAATAGTTATTTAACATACTCCGATTGTAAATAATGGCAAGCATCAAAGTTTTACATGGTTCGATCGCTCGCCGTTTCACGGTTCCGAATGACACAACTTGGTCGTCCTTTGAATCCCAGATTCGTTCACTCTTCTACATCCCTTCTCAAACCCCTATTTCACTCTCATATACTGATGAAGATGGCGATATTATCACCTTATCGAGTGACTTGGAGCTTCAAGAAATACTTTCTGACCAAGAATTGTTTGGTTCATCCGTGAAATTCGTTCTGTCAACTCCTGACGAACTTGCTCATAACGAAAAAAATAGTTGGGTATTAGAAGGAAGTACTTCGCAAATAAATGAGGAGGAATTATCTAAATCTATTAAAGATAATGATGTGATTAGCTTTAGTTCTTCCGATGAGGAAGATGGCTTAGAAACTTCACACGAATCACGAGAACAAAGTTCAAATGAATCTCAACAACAACCATTTGTATTCACTGAATTTTCCGAATTTCAAAAGAATTCAAATTATAAACATGTAACAGTTACTGATGAAGAAACTGAAGAACCAACTTTTAAACCAACAATCGTTAGTCAACAACCTGAAACGATTGGCGAGTCATCATCTTCATCAACTGTCGAGGAAGAAAAATCCAAAGAATTGCCTGAAAAAGAAGAAAAACAACCTGAATCAGATCAATCAACTGATAATAACAATGAAGAAAATGTATTTTGGATTTATAATAACTATCCTCATTATGATGTACTATTCAATGATTATTCTCCTTATTATGATTATTATAGTTCATATTGTCGTTATTCACCATTTAGATATTCAAGGATTCATCGCCCATTCGGTACACGTAGACATTGTCCAGTATCAGTAGCATTTTACAAATTTATAAAATTTGTATTAGTAATGTCTCTGATAATTACAATTGCAAAATCATTATTTTTCATGATTTGTCCATTATTAAAAATTTTGTTTTTAGTTTTCGCTTTAAAATATTTAAAAAGTTTTGGTCATAACGATGATGAAGAAGAAAAATTTGGTTCATGTAATGAGTTTGGATTTAGACGTCGATTTGGTAGATGTCATAATAGACGATTTAACAGAAATAATCAATGTTGTCAAAGAAGGGAATCCTGTAATGGAAATATTAGTGAAGAAGGTGTTGCTGAAAAGGTAAAGATTTTAAGAGATATGGGATTTGAAGGAGAAAATTTTGAAGAGTTGGTAAAGTTGTATAATGGTAATATTGATTTTGTTGTTGAAGCATTATTACAACGATAATAGTCATGAAATTTGTAAATTTACGAGATACTAGAACATATTATATAAGATGTACAAGATTTTCATTCTTTTATTTTTATTTATTTATTTTTTTTCTTTCTTTAACAAGGCTTTAATTCATGTTTGTCGTGATCATTAGTAAAATGAGAATTAAGACACTTACGATTAAATTTTTTCCCATTGCAATCAAATGATTCATTAGTTTGTGGCTTCTGTCCTCTAATTAATTGAATATTTTGTAAAATGGTTAACGTTAATACACTTTCAATTTATCTGTTTAGTCTTTTTAACGAATTAACATTTATCGATAGTTCTGAGTTTTGCTAAATCATTTTTGGAATATCTGAAGCTATCGTAAATTTCCTTTTTAATCTATAAAATTATAAACAAGAATTCTCATTTTACACTTCGGTTACAACTATTTTCATCAAATGTATTAACAGGCAAATAAAGAATAAATCAAATTTCAAATTCATAAAAAAAAAAAAATCAATTTATTAATAATGAGTTAAACGAAAATATATAACTCCATCTAGGCTCTATTAGAAAAAAATATCATATTTTATAGTGATATACCCTTCGACAAAAGAGTAGATAACTAAATAAATTACGTATAGAACATACATGAAACTTATGGTTAGGTAGCTAAATCAGTCAAAATCGTACCCAGATGGTCTTTTTTCAAAATCTCTTACTCATTTAACTATAATAGTAAATAAAATTTTATTAATAAGTTTGTATACATTTATTAAAAGATGAAATTGTAATCTTACAGAGCTATAAAAATCTGATATTGTGAATCCATTGTATTATCATATTCCTCTAAAGGTACATCAACATATTGAGAATTCATTGTATTATTATATTCTTCTAAAGACACATCGACAACTAGAAGGCAGAAAGAAACTTTCTTATTTTAATACTTTAATATAGTAAAGGCATCAAAAATAAATAAACCCATTATATACGTTGAATTGGTTCCACGATGTAATAGTTTGTAGTTATAAAATAGTCATACTCGTAAGGAGGTGTAGCTGGTTCGGAAACAGAAACAGTATCATAGTTATCTGTAGAGATGTCAAATCAGAGTTGTCTTGTGAAAATATTAGTAATAATAAGATGTTTATCTTACTTGCATTGACTTGTGTCGTTTCCAGATTATAGCCAAGTTTTTCAGAGCAGTATTCACAATATAACATGCCTCTAACTACATATCTCCTATATCTGCAATTCTTACACATGTCAGCGGTCTCGCAAATTAAGTCCTTCTTTGTACAGCGAGTACAAGGTTTTTTGTCATCACACTTTTTTTTCGAATTTCGGCACTCAATACAAGCGTTGGTAGTACGTTTACTCTTATTGCGATCTTTTGTCTCAGTTGACTGCATTACAAGTAAATTTAGGTTTATTGAATAAAGGTTGTGCTTAATTGAATGAAAAAAAAATAGTAAACTATATGAACATTGGTCTTTTTTTATTTCAACCTTCCACAAATTCCGATATTATCTCACAAGTTCCGCTACTGCCATTGAGTTTATCTTGATGAGTTTTCATGAATTAAGTCGTAAAAATATGTTCAGTTGAGTCAAGAGATTGAAAAGCGTTGACACCACAAAGTCAAGTTACACTAGCGCAGTCATAGGATTTGTTATATTCATCATAATTGTATACTTTGGTCTATCTAAGGTCATATATCGAGTTTACCCCCAAGTTCTTATTGGCCGAATGCAATTTTCGTTTTCCGTTGGATAAATCGCCGATCGGGTAGCTGAAAATTAATGCAGTCCTCGTTATGCGCCGCAATTAATATCACTTCGAATATCATAGCGATTATTTTCGTAAACTAACGTTTCTTTCATTTGAATTTAGCAACTCTTCACGATCGATTAAACCATTTTTTGAAGCTTTTTTTTAGCATTCGTCGAATTCATAATAAAGATAATAACCATTTGCGCAACAAATTAATTTTTTTTTTTTTTACATAATTTAATATTTATTGTATTGCAAAATTATTTAAAATAAACAGTTTCATTGGATTATTTTATACTTTATATTTTCGCTCATTATGTCAATTTTGCTTATCATCGATGATATTTTTGACATCGATGAGGATAACATGTTTGACTGTATTCTGGATGCAACAGATGGTGTCGGTCAAGCTTGGGAGATTGTTAACAATGATAAAGAGGCCCCAGAAACAGAAAGGGTAAAAATCTATCATCTTCCAGTAGACAAATATAAGAGATGGATCAGTAACCTTGAGTAAGCAGGTCTTGGCTATTATTGACATGATCATCAAGCTAATTTAGATGCAAAGCGGAAAAATTTGTGGAGTAAAAGGTGGTATTGTTATTATTATGAAACCTACAAGAGAGTTGTTAGAAAAGGCATCAATAAAAAAACCATAATTAGTACAAAAAGAAATAAAAAAAATGCAGGTGTAAAAGCTATATTTATGTTGTGCTTCCCATTAACTTGCAAACAGTAACTTTAAAATACTATTATAAACATAGTAACTATTACCTAGGTAAACTATCAGATTTATGTACATTGTCTCTTTCTAATAACATTCAACAGTTTATCCAACAGTGTGCTCTTGAAGGGCTAGATATTTTTAGCATACAAAAGCTTATATAACATTGGGTGATTAAATTACAAAATTAGATTTCTATTATTTTTTTTTTATTACTATTAAACATTAGGAGTGTTTTTTTTTTTATTATTTAAATATCTTTTTTTTTAAAAAAAAAAATATCAATTTTTTTTTTTAATTGTCAATTTTTTTTCTTTTTAATTATTGATTTTTTAATAAAATTTAAATAACACCTTTTTTTTAATAATCATTATTATTTATTTTAAAATTGAGGTTTTTTTTTAATAATTTAAATATATTTTTTTTAAATTATCTAGTTTTTTAAAATATATATATATTTATCACTTATTTAGTCTTTTTCTTAAGTAAATATATTTTAGTTTGTGATAGAATGATTTAATTAAATTATTTGTATCTATTATATTCTGAGAAACTCCTCTTATACAAACTATTTACAGTTTATACTTTAACTTCTACTAGCACTCAAAATAATTAGCAAAATTTTTAATAGCATTAATACTTATTTTTTTTTATTGATTAATTATATTTGCAATCTATGTTTATATATTCATATTAGTTTATTCTTTTTTTTAAAAAAGCTACTAGAGGTCTTTTAAATAGTTTTTTTTAAAAGATTATTATTTGTGTCATGCTTATAACAAAGTTTTCAATACCAAGACTATAAAACATAAAAATAATACAAAAATACAAAACTATCAAGAAAATTTTCTTGACATACCTTAATTTCTTTATTCATATTATTTACTATAAAAATATCTGATCTCTATTTTTTATTTTCATATTTTTAAAAAAAAACTATTCAGTTAGTGTTATTATTTAATTAAACTTACTTACAAAAAATGTAACTAGATATCTATTATCTAATACTAGATACCTAATAATAAGGCTAAATAAAAGATACTTATAATAATTTATTCTATAAGTTTTATTTAAATATAGAACTTTTGCGAACTCTATTAGTTCTTTCTG